GTTTTATGCTACTCGCATAAAATAACCAAAACGATTCTGTGTGCGACCATCGCGATGTTCGAATTCTGTGGGCTGTTATGTGGACCAGGGGCTGGACGTAAGGAACCTCCAACGACACCGAGCTTCGAATGTGAAAATATTTGACGCCAACGCATCCGCGTTAACAAATTATGGCAAAAACAAAAGAACACACCTTCTTCAACGAAATAATTATGTTTATCACGCACAAACATCGACAGCTTAAAGAACCATGCCACCACCGTCATCCTGAAGTTGACTGTACTGCGTTATAATGCATGCATTACACTTTACCCATCCAATTCGCAAAGAGGGGCAGGTGGCGCGAGCAACGGTCGAATCTGCCAGAGATTATCCGCTACTGCAGCTGGACCACTGAAGTCAAACATTTCCCGCAGATTACTCAAATTCACGTGGCTTCATTTTCCTTCCAGTCCCCTCGCAAATTATTGCAGAATACTCACCGTTATTCGAAGAAGTGCAAAGGAATATAAATGGCCAGCGCACCGACTGCCACCGCAAAGAAGCGCTTTTTGCACAGTTTCCCGCAGGTTTTTGTCGCTAACGGCACCAGTTTTTTCGAAAAATGCTTCTAGCTAAACGAACTGAGATTGGCCGCCAGAACTGCCAGGAAACACCCCCTTAAAATTCCAGCCTTCTAGCTTTCCAGGTTCCTGAATTAGCAACTTACCCGTGAAAAAAACCCACGCATACCTGGGGGATGAATTTGAACTCATTAAGTTATACTTGGACAAGGAATACCCTTAAACTTTCAACTATCTTCCCTGGTTCCTGAGTTCGCAGCTCACCCGCCAAAAATATTAACGGGCCCGTGCGTAGGTAAGGGCGCCCGTAGGGGATTTAATATACTTTATCTACATGTACATTGGGACTTAATTTACATGTAGACAAAGTTCCCAAAGTTTCAGTTTTGGAGGTTTTACGGGTCTCGAGATGAAAAATCGGTACAGATGCACATACAGGCGAACACACAGACAACCCCTCGCCAACATGCGTTTTTGTATTGCATAGATGCAAATAATTGGCCAATGCATCGACTGCCGGTGCGAAGATGCGTTTTTTGCATAGTTCCCTACAGGTTTTTGTCGCTAACAGCACTGGTTTTTTCGACAGATACTTCTAGCTAAAAGAATTATGACTGGCAACTAGGGCCGTCTGAAACACTCCTTTAAAATTTCTGCTTTCCAGCTATCCTGCTTCCCGAGTTAGAAACTTACCCGGAAAAAACTTTCACAGGCCCGTACATGAGAACCCCGCATCCCTGGGTGCTGGGTTTGAACTCATTAATACCTACGTGGAACA